TTGATTGCTATTGGCACATCATTGAGTGGGTGGGATTGACCTTCAGACTGACTAGTTGTGAAGATTGGCCATGACTACAGCAGACAAGCTGTTGTTTGGGGGCTGACCCCACAAAGTGGGATTTGCTGTAGCAGGACTCTGATGCCTGCTATGTCATTTGTGGAACTAATTGGGTGGTGCTGTGGTGTGCTCTGAAGCTGGCCTCTTGGTGTGTTGGCTCTGGGGCCTCTTGGGGGTGGGGGGCGGGTATCATTACAGGCCCAAGTCAGCTGCTACCTGTGCCCAACCCTGAGGCCACTTGGTAGGACCTACAAAGTGAGTGTTTGGTAGCTGCCTCTGCTGAGTTTGGAGGTGCCTGGGAGAGGCTAGGCTGCAAACCAATGCCAGAAGCCAGCTGCCACTAGTGCTGGGACTACTTAGCAAGAGTTATAGGGCACACTGAGGCTGGTCACTTCTTGTTTGGGGTTGTTTGGAACCTTTCAGAGATTTTAGGTAAGTCTACATTGAGGGCTGAGGCCAGCCGCTTGTGAATAACAGCCACTGAAAGGTTCTGCCATGTGCACAAGTTATGTGGGGTGGGTTCTCAGGGAATTACCAGGGTGAACAAGTTTGATGGAGACTCAGATATGGCACTAGCAGGCTGGATAGGGGGAGGGCTCAGCAAAAGGACAATGGCACCTGCCAGCATTTTTAGTACTGAAGAGAACTGCTCCTCCAACCTACACCCTAAAGCCAGACAATTCAGTCTTCCCTGTTTGTCCCTGGTGCTTTGAGCAACTACCCCAATTCAAAGTCAGTGAGTTCCTTAGTGAATAAGCCCTTTAAGAGGAAAGCCTGGTACTCTAGCAGACCTCCCTCTCACCCGGGCTGAATCCAAGCTAATTCTCATAGCCAGATGTTGTGGGGACTCCTATTCCTGCCACTGATGGTCTAGGCCAGTGGTCGGCAAACTCATTAGTCAACAGAACCAAATATCAACAGTGCAACAATTGAAATTTCTTTTGAGAGCCAAACTTTTTAAATTTAAACTGTATAGGCAGGTACATTGTTATTAACTTAATTAGGGTACTCCTAAGGCTTAGGAAGAGCCACACTCAAGGAGCCAAAGAGCCGCATGTGGCTCTTGAGCCACAGTTTGCCGACCACTGATCTAGGCTGGATGCCCAGTATTGGGCTGGGACTCCTCACCCTCAGGAAGGACCTCTACATCAGAGCTGTCCCTCCCGATTTATAACCAACACATGTGAGTTTGGGACCAGTCCTTTCAAATCTCCGCTCCTTCTATCAGTATCATGGAGGCTACTCCTTTTTATTCTTAGTGATAGGAGTTCTGTTTTGTTAGTCTTCTGGTGTTTCTCAAGGGTGGTTGTACTATAATTTAGTTGTACATTTTTTTGTTGGTTGTGTAATTTTGATATGGTCTCAGGAGGAAGTGAACACAGAGTTAACCTACTTTGATATCTTGACCAAAGTTCTAGATTCATTTATGACAACTTCTAATTTTCCATATTTTGATAGTTTCCCACAACATTGAGTTTTCTAAAACATTAATATGAGATGGAGCAAATAAAAATTATGGCAAATTAGGCTAATCTTTACAATTAGGTATTTTGGAAATTAGGCTTTTCACTGTTTTGTTGTATTATGATGTAAAAATTCAAGTTCATCTGTTCCTATTTTTAGTTATTAGTCTTAAAGATATGGCAGTTTAATTAAAATGTCTGGTGTCATCAGTGGAATTACTTCAATATCTACATTGAATACTTTATATAAATTTTTTTCTCATAAACAATTTTTATTGGCAGTGTATAAATACTCACTGAATAAATTATTTTTTCTTCTTTAATTTTAGGAAAAGTATATTTAAGGGAAAGAGACTTAATATTTTTGATGTTAAGGCAGCTACTGAAGAGGCACCTGAAACAGGTTTGTTAAGAAAAGAACAACACTATTTCTCATGTATAGAAAAATTCTATCTTTCATAAATGTCCTTAATGTTTGATTGCATAATAATCAGGTATTTAAATATTCCATCCTGTCATTGGCATGGATCCTGCTTATGAATGTACTTGCTGACATTGCTAGCCTTTGTCATATTTTCCTCTTGAAATGTTTCATTCTGTGAGGCAATGGGAAGTAAGGGGTGACTACCAGCCACATGAATCCAGAGCTATAGATTGGCTACTAATTTGGAGTAGAACATTGATCTCCCACTATTTGCAGTGTACCTGTGTACTATTGCAGAAAGATACACTGGTTTCTGCCTTAAGGCATCTCACTGTCTAGAAGAGGAGATAGCATTGGTAGACCTAACTTACTGATTTAGTGATTGCGTAGGAGATGGGATGAGGAACATTCAAGGAATATATTTAGCAGACTTGTAGTGTTTTTTTCTTAGTGCACAGTCTGTTCTTTGTTTTTTTCTCCTTTCTTCTTTAGGCAAGAAGTCAAATCCTTCAAATTTGCCATTTTAAGTCTAATTAAAGAGAAATAAGAATATCTTTTTGCTTGGCATTAAGTTTGATTTACTGATAAAATAACTGAAGAAACTCAATACAAATGGTCTCCAGCTTACAAGTTACTTCCAATTCTAAAGATTGTAAGCTTTTTGGACCTTGGTAGACATAATTTTATATTTAATATTTAAGTTCCTAAGCCCCCCCTCCAGTGACTCATGTAAACTTTCTATCATTTACTGGTTTTCCTACTGTTCAATAAGCTCATGATATTAGGGGCTAGGTCTCAGTGATCTTTATATAGTAGCACCTAGCAAAGTGGCTTACAGATAATAGGAATTCGTTATTTTAAATCTTAAAATCCTTTTTTGAACAAATTGGGATAAACTATATATCCATAAAGGAAAGGAGTTAATTCAATCAATGTTTATATATTTAAATGAAGTTGAAGCTAAGAGAACACCCTACCCTGTATTGTGCTGACTGCATTCTGTCCTGTGTGATGAAAAGGAAATGCACAGGCATGGGGAAAGGATCACCTTCCCCCTAATGAAGTGGCAACTGTTAAGCTTGCCTCAGAGAGGGAATTTGTTGTCAGGGCAATTGCTATTGTCCATCTAATGAATAGCCAGAAGAGACACTTGGATTCTTGAAAGAGCCAGCTTGCTTTTTTAAAATCAGAAATATTATTTCTAAAACTGAAAGTAGCTAGCAAGGAGGTAATAAAAGTTATATGTATTTTACAAAATAGTATAAAATAATGAAACTCTAATAAGGAAAGTAATGCACAAATTTATGTCAATTTACTCTAAGGAAGGTATTGTTTTAATAAGCTATATTACATTTGAATGTCATTTTCCCCCAATTAAATACAAGAATATCAATAATGTGCAAACCTAAATTTAGTATTTATTCACTGTTGTTTCCCTACCACCTAAAATAATGCCTGACTTATAGTTGGCATTCAATAATTATTTACTGAACAAATGAATGAGTTCTTCTGTCCCATGATTACCACATTTTGCTCCCCACTAAGTTCTTACTAGTGCTGCAAAGAATATAGTCCTATACCCTATTGCTTATCCTGGAGAGATTTGGTTTGGGTATCTGGATTATTCAGCCCAGATTATGCCATACTAACCTCTCTGAGTTTCCCATCCATCACTTATGAAATGGAGCTAATCTCAAGGATTAAATAAAATAATATAATTAAAGTGTCAGGCATAATGCCTGAATCATAGTGCACATTCAATAGATAGTCGCAGGTATTAACATCAATCTTCTATATATATAAAAGGCTAATATGCAAAGTGTCCCCTTGGGAGTTCAATCACTCGCTATGATGTGCGCTGACCACCAGGCGGTAGCGCAGAGCAAAGGAAGGCCTCAGCCGGCAACTGGGGAAGGAAGGCCCCAGCCGGCAGCTGGAAGGCCCCGATCGGTCATGATCGCCAGCCAAGCTTAGGGACTCTACCCGTGCACGAATTTTGTGCACTGGGACTCTAGTTAATAATGATGAAACATCAGGAATGGTGGTGTGAGAGATCCTCTCCTCTTGAAATTACAACAAGTTAACTAGCTATAATTCAACAAAGAAGTCTCTGCTCAATACAGAGGCATGCCTGAGAAACTCCTATATTGAAACATCTAAAGATGGGTAACCAGGAATAAACAGGGAGATGAGAAGGGAGGAAAATGTTCACAGCCCACAGACATAGCCCTGTAGCTGTTGTGGAGAAGGGAGGAAGCTGGCACTGGGAGGCACTTTCTTCAGCTGGGAGGAACAGAGAACATTGTGGGGCAGTACAGCAGGGTGAACAGTGTCTAAGTCAGCAGATGCCTGATAGAGCACAGGGTTCTTCCATGCAGTTCTCCACAGTTGGGGCAAACTGTGGTGCTTCAGAGAAAGAAACAGAACCACAGAGCCCTGGCACTTGTTGGACTCCCCAAATTCGCCTCTGGTTGCCCTTGGAGTTGGTGCGAGGAGCATATTATCTGTAAACCAAGAACAATTATAGTAGAACTGCTGTTTCCCTCTGTGACAGATCCCCAGGTGGGGAGCTTGAGGTGGGACTCCCATGGAGGTCAGGGGTCACCAATACAGTGAGTGCAAAACCAAACCCACCCCAACAGCACAGCTGTACTGTCTTACGAAAGCCATGGAGGTCAAGACTAGGAGATCACAGAACTAAAAAATCTTGTGATGCAGCACCATCTACTGGAAAATAGTAGAAAGACCTCTACAAAGGAAGCTGGTATATAAATGCCTAGGCAAAGGAAAACAATAAATACCATGAATAGCCACAGTAATGAGGATGATCAGAAAGAAAATGGAAAATCCCCAGTAAGTCAACTGGAACACATGGAAATATGTTATATAAATGACAGATTTCAAGATTGCATTTCTGAAAATACTCAACAAGATGTGAGAAAATACAGATAGGCAATTAAATGCACCCAGAAAAAAGAAAATGAACAAAACAAGTACTTTACCAATGAAATTGAAATTTTAAAAAAGAATCAATCATGCCCAGCCAGCATGGGTCAGTGGTTGAACATCAGCCTATGAACCAGGAGGTCAGGGTTCGATTCCTGGTCAAGACACATGCCCAGAGAGCAACAGGAACTAAGAGGAGCTCAAACCGTTATAGTCTCGCCTTCAGAACTTTCAGAAAACATCACAGCCCTGCCAATACCTTGATTTGAGCCCAGAAAAACGTCCAGCCCACAGAACAGTCAAACTTCAAGTGAAGGCCGGTCTTCAAGCAACAGCGACGCAAGATGGCAGCCAGCACGGGCTTGGGAGTAAAAGTCCCTCGCAATTTTTCACTGTTGGAAGAACTTGAAGAAGGCCAGAAAGGAGGAAGAGATTGCACAATTAGTTGGGGTGTAGAAGATGATGAAGACATGACACTTACAAGATGGACAGGGATGATAATTGGGCCTCTAAGGACAGTTTATGAAAACCGAATGTACAGCCTTAAAATAGAATGTGGACCTAAATACCTTAAAGTACCCCATGTTGTAAGATTTGTAACAAAAATTAATATGAATGGAGTTAATAGTTCTAATGGAGTGGTGGACCCAAGGGCCGTATTAGTGCTAGAGAAATGGCATCGTTCATATAGTATCAAACATGTCCTGCACGAGCTTTGGCACCTAATGATGTCTAGTGAAAGTATGTCACTCCCTCAGCCACCTAAAGGACAGTGTTACAGCAACTAATCAAAAAGAAAATCACAGGCCCACTCCTCCCCCATTCGATTTAAGCAGTCTTCAATTTCCACAGTAGTAACTTTTCTAGGTACGTCTTGTAGACATCAAAGTACTGGAAAGGAAGCTCCTATTCAAAGGCAGTTTATCTTAAGATACTGTAAGTGATACTAATTTGTTGTCCGTTTGAAATATATAAGTTGTGCTATAATAAAAAGAAAAGAAAAGAAAAAGAGACACATGCCCAGGTTGTGGGGCTCAGTCCCCAGTGTGGGGCATGCAGAAGGCAGCCAATCAATGACTCTCTCATCATTGATGTTTCTATCTCCATTCCTTTGTGAAATCAATAAAAATATATTTACAGAAAACACACACACAATCAGAAACCCTGGAAATGAAGCATGCAATTAAAGAGATTAAAAAGTGAACCGTGCAAAGAAAACAGCCAACAAGATGGAGAGAAGAATTAGTGATATCGAAGATAGCCACCTAAAAATGGTGCAGAGGGAAGAAGAGAGAGACGTGAGCATAAAGAAAAATGAAAGAGTTCCACAAGAACTATCTGACTTCATCAGAAAAAGCAATATTAGAATTATAGGCATTGCAGAGGAAGAAGAGGGAGCAGGGAACAGAGAGTCTATTCAAACAAATATTGGATGAGAACTTCCCAAACATATGGAAAAAACTAGGTTCTCAAATCCAAGAAACAAAAAAGAACACCTAGTTACCTCAATCCAAAGAGGCCCTTTTCAAGGCACTTGGTATTGAAACTCAAACGTCAATGACAAAGAAGTTCTCAAAGCAGTCAGGGAAAAAAAGGAAGTGACCTACAAAGAAAAACGCATCAGAATTTCATCTAACTTCTCAGCAGAAAATCTGCAAGCCAGAAGAGAGTGGAACCAAATATTCAAACATTTGAAAGAGAAATTACCAGCCACGAATAATATACCCAGAAAAATTATTCTTTGTATATGAAGGAGAAATAAAGATGTTCCCAGACATACAGAAGCTGAGGGATTTTAACACCAGAAAACCTCCATTGCAGGAAACACTCAAAGGGGTTATTCTACCTGAAACAAAGAATATAAGGTCACAATACTAAGAATAAGATCATCAAAAACTTACAGTATAAACAGGGATAATTTGTGACAACAAAAACATAAAAGTTCTGAACTAACAAAGGAAGATGAAGATGACATGCACTCAAAAGAAAAAACTACACTATATATGTAACTTCATTTTTTACAAGTTTCAATAAAGGAGCCAGAAACACACAATGGACTAAATACAGTCTCTTCAATAATTGGTGTTGGGAAAACTGGAAAACCACATGCAAATGAATGAAGCTGGATTACAATTTGTCTCCATGTATAAAATATACTCAAAATGGGTCAAAGACCTAAATATAAAATCTGAAACAATAATGTACATAGAAGAAACTATAGGTACCAAACTTATGGACCTTAGTCGTAGAGAACATTTTATGAACTTGACTCCAAAGGCAAGGGAAGTAAAGACAAAAATAAATGAATGGGACCATATCAAACTAAAAGGCTTCTGCACGACAAAAGAAACTGAAAACAAAACAAAGAGGCAGTTAACCAGATGAAGATGATATTTGCAAACAGTTGCTCCGACAAAAGTTTAATTTCCAAAATATATAAAGAACTCAAAATCAACACCAAACAACCCAATCAAAAAAGTGGGCTGACGTCCTGAAAGCACACCTCTCCCAAGAAGACATACAAACAGCCAATAAATATATGAAAAGATGTTCAACCTCACTAGCAATTAAAGAAATGCAAATCAAAACTACAATGAGATACCGTCTCACACCTGTTAGAATGGTTATTATCAACAAGACAAGTAATAACAAGTGTTGCAGAGGTTGTAGGAAAAAGGGAACCCTCATTCATTACTGGTGGAAATGTAGTCTGGTACAACCACTATGGAAAGCAGTCTGGTGATTGATCAAAAAAGTAAAAATAGAGCCGCCATATGACCCACCAATCCCTCTCCTAGGTATATACCAAAGAAACACAACAGCCTGAAAAACATGTATTCACAAAGATATATGCACCCCTATATTCATTACAGCATTATTCATAGTGGCCAAAACATGTAAACAACCAAAGTGTCCTGCGATAGAGGACTGGATAAAGAAGATGTGGTACATATACAAAATGGAATACTACTAAACCATAAGAAAGGGTGATATAGCACCATTTGCAACAACATGGATAGAACTTGAGAACATTATGCTAAGTGAAATAAGTCAAAAAAAAGCTAAGAAGCATATAATTTCACTCATATGGGATATAAAACAAACTCATGAACACAAATAGCAGTGTGGTGGTTGCCAGAGGGAAGGGGGTGTTGGGAAAAGGGGTCCTAATATATGGTGACAGGAGAAGATTGGACTTTGGGTGCTGGGCACACTGCAATATATAGATCTTATAACATAGAAACCCACACATGAAACCTATATGTTCATGTTGACCAATGTGACCCCAAGAAATTTAATTTTAAAGAACAAAATGAGGATGATCATTATCATCATGAGAAGACAGGTTGATCAGTGTCCACTGAATGAATTTTAAAAAGTGTGACCATAATAAGTTATTTACTGTTATTACTCTGTAAATATGGCTAATATGCCTAGTTACTATGATCTTTTCTCTGTATCAACTGTTCTAGGCCAACATACTTTTTATCCAGCATTTGATGCTGGCTATTAGGCATGGTCATACATGAACTTTAATTTTAAGTCTTTGTATGGACATATGTTTTCTTTTGAGTAAATATTTAGGAGTAAAATGGTTGCATGGTAAGTGTATTCTCAACTTTTAAAGAAACTGAGAAACATTTTCCAAAGTGGTTGTACCATTTTACGTTCTCACTTCTGGGAATATGACTCATTCTTGAAAGATGTCTTAAATTTTCAAAACAAGTGATTGAAATATTACATGATGGTATTTATAAGCTAATATTATACTACCTTACTAAGAGTTTGTTGTGGGGATTAAATGAACTAATATACAAAAAGCACTTAGTAAAGAGTAAGTTCTCAGTGTCCATTAGTAGTAGTATTACTGTCATTATTATTATAATCATGTTAATTTTTCTTTGGTCTTTATTAGTAGTATATAGTTACTTAACAGACTAAAAATACGCTTGACTTTAAAGAACAAAGTCCCATGTTGTATTAAAATATTCATTTTTATAAAAATGCTAGAGGCCTGGTGCACAAAATTCATGCACTGGGTGGGGGAGTGTCTCACAGCCCAGCCTGCACCCTCTCCAATCGGACCCCTCGGGGGATGTCCGACTGCCAGTTTAGGCTCGATCTAACAATCTGGGACTGCTGGCTCTCAACTGCTCACCTGCCTGCCAGCCTGATCACCCCCTAACCACTCCCCTGCCAGCCCAGTCACCCCCAACTGCCCTCCCCTGCCGGTTCACTCCCCCCAACAGCCCTCCCCTGCCGGCCCGGTCGCCCCCAACTGTCCTCCCCTGCCATCCCGGTCACCCCTAACTGCCCTCCCCTGCAGGCCCGGTTCCCCCCAACTGCCCTCCCCTTCTGGCCTGGTCACCCCTAACTGCCCTCCCCTGCTGGCCTGATAGCCCATAACTGCCCTCACCTGCCGGCCATCTTGCAGCTGTGGGCGCTGCCATCTTTGAGGGTGTGGTAGTCAATTAGCATATTCCTTCCTTATTGGCTGTGGGCACCGCCATCTTTGCAGGTGGGGCAGTCAGCATATTCCCTCCTTATTGGCTGTAGGTGCCACCATCTTTGCGACAGCATGAGAGTCAATTAGCATATTCCCTCTCTATTAGATAGGATCTTTAAACAAAATATACATTTCTTTTTTTCTTTCCAGTAGAGAGGCCAGTGAGACTTTAGTGGTTGATTACCACTAAAAGTAAAAGTTAAGGCTTTTAATTATTGTACTTGTAGTCTTTATGTATCATTTCTGTTTCAGTTTTAGCTCTCAGAGAGCGAACTTTCACTGTATAGTGTATAATAATGTGCTTCAAGGTATGAAGATATATCACCAACTCAGAGTTAATTATAACATTTTTAAAAAGAAAGATATTGATATTGACTTGTCCTTATTTGAAATGTTTTTATTATATAGAAACAGCACCTTCACTTTGGGATGTGGAATTTGCTCAGCAGTTAGCTGCAGTAAATGAACAGTCCTTTCAGAATGGTTTTGAAGAGATAATCCAGTGGACAAAAGAGGGGAAACTGTGGGAATTCCCAATTAACAATGAAGCAGGTAAGTTTAACTCCAGAGGTTTATAAAATTCACTGATTGAGCCCTGCCAGCATGACTTAGTGATTGAGCATCAACCTATGAACCAGGAGGTCATGGTTCGATTCCCAGTCAAGGCGCATTCCTGGGTTGTATGCTTGATCCCCAGTGGGAGTGTGCAGGAGGCAGCTGATCAGTGATTCTTTCTCATCATTGATGTTTCTATCTCTCCCTCCTTCTCCCTTCCTCTCTGAAATCAATAAAAATATTTTTTAAAAAATAAAAGATTAGCTAAAAGTTGCAAACACCTCATTAATTCTTGGGAAAATGTAGTTCGTATTTTAACCTTTGTAGTTTTCTGCTCTTACTGTAATATTTCGATTTTTTTATAACCTCTCATTTGTTTGGATTAATAAGTAGAATGGAAGCTTAAATATCAGAAATAATCTTATATTTTCATAAAGTACTAGAGGCCCGGTGCATGAAATTCGTGCACAGGTAGGGTCCCTAGACCTGGCCGGCGATCAGGGCCGATCTGTGGGGTGATCGGCGAGGCAGTTGGGGGGCCCCCACTGGCACCTGCCTTGGCCAGCCTGGGGCCTCCAGGCTGGAGGCAGCTCCTGCATTGAGCGTCTGTCCCTGGTGGTCAGTGTGCATCATAGAGACCTGTTGTTCCACCGTTTGGTCAATTTGCATATTAGGCTTTTATTATATAGGATTACTTTTTATAATAAAATTTTAGAGACTTAGCAAATTCTTATATTTTGTATATGTGTATGGTATATACAATAATATAGCATACTGGATTTAATCTATTACACAACATATATATTAAAGTTTTATGGTTTCTTTATTCTGTAAGGTATCAGAGTATAGTAAAAAAAAAAAAAACCCACAAAAAAACAGAAAGTAAAGTAGTTGTGCAAACCTGAGTATAGAGCCTCAACTCTATCAATTATTAGCCATTTGCCTTTGAGGAAGTTACTTAC